CCGAACCATACCGAACCGAACCGAATAACGTTTGGTTCTAATTTGGTACACTTTTTATGGAACCGAATGAACCGTTCCCGAACCGAACCGTATGAATACCGAACCAAAATTCGAATATTCCACTAATATATGTGTAAATAGTATAGTTCGATACTTATTTGGTATTCATATAATGGTACCGTTTCGAACCGAACCGATACTAAAACCGAACCGAACCGAACCGTTTAACATTCGGTTCTAGTTTGGTACACTTTTTATAAAACCGAAAATACCGTTCCCGAACCGAACCGCTTGAATACCGAACCGAAACCCGAAACGCCCACCCCTAGTTTCGGGTTTATGTCAATACCTCCCCATCGATTTTTCCGTGAGCCGCGTCCCGACGTTGTATCAAACCAATCACATCTGAATATGATTGTTTTCAACCCGACTAATCCTGGCTGGATACTGGAGTTGGAAAATCTGACGAAGAACCCCAAAGAAATCAGGATCTTCCGATGACCCGCTTTTTATACAAACTCCGTAATTGAACGTGGATTTATGTTTTCCATGATCGTAAGTGTGAAACGTGTATCCTCGGGTGAACATTATCGACTAGCAAATGACTTTTCTTCCAGGTCCATGTGATATATCTCTGATCCATGCCGGAATTCTATCACTGCATGACTGAATCTGCGTATAAAAATTAAATTAATACACAAATACATACACGTACATATATATATATAGCTAGAATACTTACGTAGTCTCGAAGCCAAGATGCATAATGTTGTTCCTTCATTCCTTCAAGTTCCTCCCCACTTAGGTTAGGATATGTTGCCAAAACATCCTCGTCAAAAAGTCTTACAAAAAAATGTTGTTAGCAAATATGTAATTAATTAATTTCTAATCACATCTAAGATTAAAAAATGTGTACCTTTCGTATGGCTTAAGTTCTTCACAATTCAACAGTATATATGTGGCGATGTGATTGTACTCTTGTACAGTTAACCAATATTCTTCAGATTTGCCTCCGAGGCGTCCAGTAGGCTGAAAACTTTCGGGAATAAGTCCGAAACATGAATCATAGTGGTAGAGATAACTTCTATCGTCTTCGTTGATAGCCCTCCTTTTCTTCGTCTGAATATGAGATTCAAAATAGAAAGAACTGAAGTAGGAGATCTCCTCTTACAAATACTGTTTGACGATAGATCCTTCCACTGCTGCTTTGTTTTTTGCCTTCTTCTTCAGATGGAAAAAAAATCGCTCAAATGGATACATCCATCTAAATTGTACTGGACCACCGTATATCGCCTCATCTGGTAAATGAATAGGTAAATGTTCCATCACATCAAAAAATGAAGGTGGAAATACCTTTTCCAATGCGCAAAGTATCTCAGGAATGTTGCCTTTCAAAACCTCTACATTACTTCTTCTCAGAGATCTTGCACATATATCTCGAAAGAATGTGTTGATACCGCATAACGCTCCGTGGACACTGGGTTTCAATAGCTCCACAAATGCAATAGGAATGAGTCTTTGTATGAATACATGGCAATCATGACTCTTCATTCCCATAAGTTTTAATGAATCAGTATCAACACATCGCGCCAATTTGGATGCATATCCATCAGGGAATTTAACCTCTTCTTTTAACCATTTAAACAAGACCGTTTTACCTGGTTTTGTGAGTCTGAATATCGGCACAGGTGCGTGACCATCACGTGTCAACTCCAACTCTTTTCTCTTGCATATATCTTTCAAGTCCTTCCTCGAGTTGATGTTATCTTTACTTCTCCCTGGCACATTCAGAACGGTGTTGATGATGTTATCAAAAAAGTTTTTCTCTATATGCATAACATCCAGATTGTGTCGAAGCGTTAGCGAACTCCAGTAAGGCAAATCCCAAAAAATACTACGCTTATACCAGTTATGCCAATCACCAAATCCTTTGCACTTCTTATGCCCAAAATTTCCTCCACAATGCACAGAAGCTTCCAAATCATCCAAATATCCACTATTTATTCGCTCAGAATAAATTTGCTCTCCGGTTTGCATAACAGGACCTTCCTCAGTAACGATTTTACCTTTGGTAAAAGGCGTACGATTTTGTCTGAACGGATGATTCCTTGGAAGAAATCTGCGATGACAGTCAAACCAGCACGTCTTTCTCCCATGTCTCAACTGAAACGCTTCTGTTTCCTCCATGCAAAACGGACATGCAAGTCTTCCATGTGTGCTCCATCCCGATAGCATGCCATACGCCGGAAAATCACTGATCGTCCAAAGAAGAACCACTCTCAGTGTAACATTTTGTTTCACACTTACGTCGTAAGCAGGGACTCCAATGTCCCACAAATCCTTCAACTCCTTAATGAGCGGCTGTAAATACACATCAAAACTCTTCTTCGGATGTTCTGGCCCAGGAATCAACAATGTCAAAAACATAAATTCTCTTTTCATGCACATCTCAGGTGGTAAGTTGTACGGAGAAAGTATAACTGGCCATAATGAATACTACATGCCAGATTGTCCGTACGGACTAAATCCATCAGTACACAAACATAGATACACATTCCTAGGCTCAGCAGCGAATTGAGGAAATACCATGTTGAAGTTTTTCCACGCCAAAGCATCTGATGGATGTTGCATTTCTCCACGGTAGAATGTGAGGCATGCCATCTCATATGCGAAGCCGTTTGTTGTGATTCATACAAACGCTTCAATCTGTACGATACCTGCATATAGAACATCTTTTTATACGGAGTTTGTCTCTGTACATTCTTACTCGGACGGTATCTGTTAGTCCCACAGAATTTACACCTAACCAATTCTTTTTCTTCACCCCAGTACAGCATGCAACCATTTTTGCAAACATCAATCTTTTCATAAGGCATTCCCAAATTCTTCAACATAGCCTTCGTATCATAATACGATTCTGGAGCTTCGTTATTTTCAGATAAATATTCACGCAACGTTTGACAAAATGAATCCATGCAACTTTCGGTGACATTGTAATCCGTTTTCATACTCATCAATCTTGATGCAAGAGATAAACGTGACTGACCTTCTTTACATCCTTCATAGATAGGATGATTTGCCATATCCAACATGTCGAAAAACCATTTTGTTTCGACGTTTGGCTCCTCCTGATCTTGTGATAAGTTTTGCTCAGCCAATGGCGCCCCAGGAAAAGCATCTGTCACCATTTCAACATAAGGATTTCTTACATCTTCATCTACATCATACCTCTGCTCGGCCGAGACATGTTGTCCCGTTGTGATTGTCCGAACTTCTTCTCCATGAAATCGCCAAATATAATAATCTTCGACAAATCCCCTTCGAAATAGATGTTTACAAACATCTTCTGGACTGCGATATTTAAAATTGCGACAACTTGTACATGGACATAGCATTTTTCCACGTTCTTGACACAACGGCTGCATAGAAGCAAAATTCATAAACTGTTCCAAACCGTTAATGAATTCTTGCGTTACCTCTTTTGTAATCGAATCAACTCTTTCGTATATCCACTGTCGGGACGAACGAATATTCGGATTTGTTGAAGATGTCATTTTTAGGAGAATTTTTGGTAAAAGAATAGTATATGAGTGATTTAGAGAGTGGTTTGGACGAATTATGGTGGAGTGTTATAAATAGAGAAACATTCCAACGGATATCCGTTGGAAATCCGTTGCAATTTTCGTTACCGTTAGACTTTCCAACGGATATCCGTTAGAATATTTCGAACGTTATAACGTTCGACTATTTCCAACGGATATCCGTCGGAATTATTACCGCGTTTCGTAACGTTCGAATAATTTCAACGGCAATCCGTTGAAATTCGTCAAACGTTATTTCCAACGGAAATCCGTTGGAATATACGTGGAAAATTTCCAACTCAAATATCCGTTGATATGCCGTTGGAAATTGCCAACGGATTTCTAACGGATGAATCCGTTAGACGTCCGTTGGAAATCCGTTAGAAATGCGTTGGAATTATTCCAACGGGAATCCGTTGGAAATCCGTTGGAAAATTTGCAACGGATGAATCCGTTGGAAAAATCCGTTGGAATTTCACAGTTTTTTTGTAGTGATATTATGATGTATTCTTCCCATTATCAATAATAGAAAAATATTTCTCTATTATGGTATCAGAGCCTGGTTTTTGCTCTAATTTTTTTTCTTCTTCTTCTCATCAACAATGTCAGTCGAATCCGAAAGCGACGATGAAGATGACAACGATGTATTAAATCCAATCGTATCATTGTCTTGAGTATCGTTTTAAATTTATTTTGCCCTTTTTTTTTTCTTCTATTTTTTTTCCCGACGGCGGTGTTCCCCCCCGTCACCCCTAGCCGATGTGCTATTTTTTTTAATGACGATGTTCGTTTATCGACGTCAACCCTAGCCGATGTGCTATTCTTTTTTTTTCTCTGACGACGTTCGTTTATCGACGTCAACCCTAGCCGTTGTAACCTCTTTAAACATGGCTATTAGTCTCTTTCGATTGGAAAACTCCGATCGTCGATCCACGTATTTGCGTCACTTATTTTTATTTTCTTCTCTTGTCCCGCTGCTAGACTATCACGCATTATGCGTCGCGCTTTTGCGCCCATTTTTTTTTTCTTCTTTTCTCCGGCCTAGCCGCTATACACATCGCAATTTTTTTTTGCGCTGCCGACCTCATTGTCGCGCAACCCAACTCGCGCATATGCGCCGCACATCCGTGCCACATCAGCCTCTGAGAACACGACTCTCAAACTCTTCAAACGTTATCAAGCAACACTAACTCAAGTCTGGACTACACCACCACATGGAATATGATTCGTTTAATACGATCACAATTTCAGTTTTTAATTTTTATATAACAAGATTGAATTTATCATAGATGATTCATCTTGAGGGGGCATATAGGAATATATTATTATTAGAATATTATCATTAATATTGTTATGATTTACCTTAGATATTATGCCTAGAATATTCTATTGTATTTTGCTATATATTATGATGTATTCTTCCCATTATCAATAATAGAAAAATATTTCTCTATTAATATATACATGTACTTCTATATCACTATATTATATATCTATATATATGTATAGGAGAGCGGATCTTGCTAATTGCATGCAATAATAAACGGATTAAAAAATAGAAGAAGAACCTTGATGATGGAATGGATCCAGAGTCGACGAGCTCTGGCGTTAACTCCTAAAATGGTGGTGAGTGGCTTGGTACGTACCTTGTGCCACAAGTAAACATGATACATGGCCGGTATCATAAGGCCTAATGGCACCAATATCGCGTCCAAGTAACACTCCCTCCATTCCATCGATGGAAATCCTCGACTCTTTCTGTATTATTCTCAGAATTCCTTGTATGTGTGTGTGTATATATATATGGAAATAGAAAGCAAAAGCACCTATGCACGAGAGAGAGAGAGAGAGAGAGAGAGAGAGAGAGAGAGAGAGAGAGAGCATGTTTGTCCTTTTGTTTGCCATTTTCACCTCCAAAAACTGACTGTCCAGTTGGAGTCCATATATGACATTTTATTCTTGCACGTATTTCTATCCTCCTTTTTTGTTTTCCTCTATGGATGGTCTTAAATTGTGTGTTGATACATCGATGAATTAACTTATAAATTCCCAATTAAATACATAATCAATATTTATTTAATCAAATAACGAGATACATACACGAACTTCGAGAAACGATCAGATAACTTTGAATATATAGTGGGATGTACCTTACATTGTATTTGTAGCCATGCATCCACCCAATCCCAACTTCCCCCCTAATATTAGTGCTTCTTCTTTTGATCCTTATTACTAAAGGAAAACTAAAAGCAATCAATCATCTAGCACTTTTTTAGCTCTTAAATAATTGAAATTTTTATAATATTGACGTAATTAACTTTGATAAAAAAAAAGTTTGTTATTCCTTATGATTGGTTGGTACAAATACGTGGTGGAGTCAACCAAAATTAGAAGCTATGATGATAATATGTGTATATATAATTATATATGTGTGTATATGGAAATATTTATCATCATCAAATGCTAAAAACAATTTTTTTTCGTTAAAAACTTCTATACAATTTTGTTAAAATATTGTTAGTATCTCTACCAAATTTTATTTGTTATTAAATTTTTATGTCTTAAACTATATTAACGTGCCATCTATGAATATTTCTTTCTTGTTAGATTATATATTGTTGTGGTTGTTGCTAAATTTTATTTATTTTTTATTTTTGTCAAAAGTTAGTATTCCATTCCTTTAAAATTCCTTTACAACCCATCTACACTCATCGACCATTTACAAAAAGGGGTTGAAGAGCCACCATAAACTTGCTAAATTTAATAACTTTTGATTGCATTTGGCAAAATAATGTATTTGTGATGGAGAAATATGCTAGAACGTGAATTGCGATATTTTCTACGAATAATTTAAAATAAAAAGCTTGCACATGAAAACCGAAAACCCATAAAATAAAATAAAATGAACATTTTTCCGTGTTCATCGAGAATGTATAATTTCTGTGTACATTGAATTTTCAATTGTGGAGAATAAAATCATATCTGAACAATTCAACATAAATTATAGTATTTAGTTTTATATTTAATCTGTTACAGGTTAAATATTGTGACTCTTATCCATCGTTAAACAAATTCTCATCTTTAATTATTTCGTAATAACCGGATATTTTGGGGAGGTCTAAACTAATTCTTGGATTGGGACTAAGCCATGTAATTGGAATTACGGTCTCCTCCTCAACTTGAGGCTAGAGTTGGGCACGGGTCGGGTACCCGCATTTTTAGAGATATCCGTCTTCGTTTTCGTCTTCATGGGTTTTAGAGAAATGTTATCTATGTTTCTATCTCTGGGTATCCATCCAACGGGTATCCATAACTAAAAGACAGAAATATATCAAAAAGACATTCTTGGATTGAGGCTCAAATTTGGGGTGAGACATATGCTTTATATACCCATCTCACCGTTTCACCTATTCAAATTGGATGTAACATGAAATATTCTACCACCTTCTTCATTTTCTCTTGTCGGAACACGTTAAAAACCATTGTTTATTATTTTGATTTGAAGCCATTTGCCTATTTATAACAATTATTCGGTTCATTTAATTATGGTAGAATTTCAAAAGAATAAAATTTTAAAATTATATGTACGTACCGGCTATAATTTCGGATAAAATTTATTGAACTATATATATATATATATTAGTATTTGGCTTTATTCTTATTAATGCATTTAACAACGTTGTAATAAATGATTATTGCTAAATCACATTTTCCATTATTGTAGTCTGTTTTTAGTCTTTTTATATTTTATATTATTGTTGTTGTCGTTGTTATTATTATTATTATTATTATTATTATTGGTCGAACATTTGATGAGTCGCTATTCCAAAATGGTTATAAATAATCCCATCAAACCATATTGTATTCATTATTTTTTTGGAAGAGAGACCGTGTTTGTAATTTATTTTTAGTATGAAAATACAAAACTATTACAAAGATAAAATCTAGATGGAAAAAAGGGTCTTTAATTAATTTGTTTTAAAAAAATTATATCCAATAGAGTCTTTAATTAAATTATATTAAATATGGTTTGATGGGATTATTTATAACCAAAAGCTAATTATGTTTATAAAACATAATTTCTAAAAACGAAATGGCAAAAACTTAACGGTGTCTTCATTGTTGATTTAATATGGTCTTCGGATTTACATTTATAACATTAGGGGATACATGACAGATAATTTGAAATTTAGTTAATTACTTTTTCGATTATTCGTTGTCTCAATTATTTAAGCGGTCACCACTAACGCAAGTTCTCATTTTCATATTTTCCAAAACACATATTATTAGAAAACACGGACAAGTAATGGTCCAAAAGTACAAACCCAATTAACAAAATCCCCTCTTGTGAATTGTTATTATATCTATTTGAATACGAATTGTGAACCAACCGATTAATCATTTGAGCAAATAAATAACTCATACGTATATATACGTTCACGAATCGTGTACTTCTGATATGTATCGTATTGTACGGGTTATTTATACATATGCAGAATGTCATATATATTCGGTCAGGATAATTTAATTATTATTAGGGATCAGTAAAACTGTTATTAGGGTTGTTCTACATATGCAAAATGTCATATACATTTACACACAAAAAAATGTCACATGCATACTTTACCTATGTGTGTATAGGTATCGTATGTGCGTGCGTATGATTTGGTTGTCTTACCAAAATCCGATACATTATTAAGGATGTATTTGAAAAAATAAGATGTGGATTCTATAGCAAAACTCATTTTAGTCAACCCAAAATGAAAGGAATTGCCCATTTTTTAAAATTATATTGTCCAAATAATTATCATTTTTGTTTTCAAATCGGAAATTATATAAATAGTTACAAATTATATATTTAGATTTATTTCGTAAAGGGTGCGCTAAGATTGAGGTAAAACCGTTGAAAAGACCACTTTGTAAAATACATATATATATAAAAAAAAATATGTAGTTAAAATGACATTATATAGCAAATGTACAAGAGATATTAATTTGACCTCTATGCATGATTATGCTACATATGAAAAAAGCTTAAGAGTCCACATATATGGTTAAACAAATTTACAATTCTTAAATTAATAAGACGGCCTTTACTATGAATTTGTTTTATATAAAAGATTAATAAAAGTATCACAAATTCTACAAATTAAGTAACTCTAATAAAAAAAAGTATAAATAAAAGTTACAATGTTTTTATATGACAATATGGCCGAAAAACTGTACAAATACATCAATTCTAATCAAGAGAGAACAAGGGATGTTGGACAGAGGAGATACACCATACGGATGGAGTATTTGAGCCAGAAAGCATTCCAAGAGCTGCTTCTTGAGGCGGAGGAGGAGTTCGGGGTCCAGCAAACGGGTGTCCTGAGGATTCCATGCCAAGTGAACGTGTTCGAGAACGTATTGAAGGTAATGGAGGAGAAGAAAGAGGCATACCTTACAGTGAGGAAGGGCTGCAGGTTCATGGCAGACGAGACGTTGAGTCCTTCCCATCAACCTCACAGCCCCATGTGCATATATATAGTCTTCTCTTCTTCTCTTGCTGCTTTGACTCATCTTCTTCTTCCCCGTTCCCCCCCGGGGATTCGGATTTCAGAAAGTCACTATCTTTCTTTGCCTGTTTCTGCTATTCTTTCATATAGCGACTTAGCAATTTCCGGATAACAAATGCAGTAGCCACATGGTTAAAGATCAAAGTAAATCAGAAAAGAACACACTTTTTTGTTCGCCGGAAGATTCACACTCTTCATTCATTCCCATCATCATCATCTAGGGATGTCAAGACGAGTCGGCTCTGACCAGATCGAACATGTTCATTCTGAGCCAGCTCATTTTTCAACCCAACTCGTTAAGCCCGTTTTTATTCGGAACAAAAAAATCAAGGTTCGGACCACATCGCTTGAGTTCGCGAGCTAGGAAAAAAATAAAAATATTAAATATAATAAAAAATATTATAAAAGTAATTAAAAAATAATAATTAATATATTTTAAAATAATAAAAAATATTTAAATTTGATAACTCTTTTTTAAAATTATTTGAAAAATATTAAAAAAAAAAAAAAATTGGGCTCGTGAGCCCGCTCGGGGGTTCGCCGAGCTCGTGGCGAGCTAGCTGGTTTGGCTTGTTTTTCATCTCATTTTGACATCCCTATAATCATCATCATCATCTAGATTGAATCACAAGGATCAATGATTCATTACTCGTAGAGACATATAACATCCAAAAGAGAATTGGTATCTGATACAGTTTGGGCTCTAACTCCACCACAAAATCTAGTTTGAGAATGGTGGTTTGTCACTCCTTATATATTGGCTCCAAATCCCTCTCTCACCGATGTGAGACTCTTATCAATACCGTCCCTTTGGACAACAACGGCCAGACGTTGAGACAAATCTGGTCGCTAGCGACTTCTCGGTCATACCCTAACCATTCCTCTCCCGATCGTCCCACAACCACCAAGTCACCCGCATACCCGCAAAAGAATGGCCTATCAGAGACCCACCGATGTGTAGAAAGTTGGGATTCGATACCAATTGTTATATTCTGGGCTCTAACTCCACCACAAAATCTATATACAAAATCTAGATTAAGAGTGGGCATTTAACCTTCCTTATATATTGATCCCAAATACCTCTTTCACACAGATATGTGACTCTTATCAATTTGATAGAATGCACCCATCTATAATGGGTTCAACTAAGTCTCAAAGTACATAGGTAAAACTCACCCGAACAACTTTAGAGTGGAAGTTTGACCCTCTTTATATACTGGTCACAAATCCCTTTCTCCCACTAAAGTTGGACTCTAATCAATACCGCCCCTTTAGACAACGACCACGGTACTGGGGCAAATCTGGTCGCTAGCGG